AAGGTCTATCACTTGCTCCAATGGACGATCGCGACTGCCTTAAACTCTACGCCTAACCTTAGCATTGATAATTCGGTTAACCAATCAGGCTAGTGCAATGCGATGTAGCTATACAGTTGCAAATGGTAAACGCAGTAACCACGCTGCTCAGAGTATTCAGCGCGACTGCTGTCCTCTTTGGTACCATCAAGGATGAGTAAAGCTATCCAGGAAGGCATATGAACCATACACAGAGCACAAATTCACTTCGTGGATTTTTACTCGCTGTATAGCACAAGCCGATGAATGCTCGCGCATTCTCAAGGGTAAATTAAGACCGTTGGGTAGGGGAAACGTATTGGAGTTCGCACAGCCTAAAGTGCCTGATACCCATTTAGAGAAATCTAAAGCTACCTGAACCTGAACCAAAAAACGATAGAAGTGTAGAGTAACCTCGGTGTTAAACATTGAAATCGACAACGGAATAGATGACGGATCTGAAAGCTTTAAGTTTAAGGTTGAAGCGCCTGAAAATGAGTTGATGCTAATGAAGTAGACCTGTCAGTCTATTCTAGGCTGGGCGAAGAACATACTGCTCCAAAACTGTACTGAGCCAACAATCAGAGATGACAGATCTCACCGTGAAGAGGATCGCAGGCCTTAATAATATAAAGCCTAAACAATATAAATAGTACAAACCAGACAATCCTTTAATGGTGAAGCCCCAAAGCCCATTGTTCCTTGTTCAAAGAAGAGAGTTCATCTGGGTGGATTCTTAAACCCGGTTATTTGAAAGTCACTTGCCGTTCTTTTTGTATCACAGTGCATTTCTTTGGCTTTACTACGGTTCCCACTCTGAAATCTGGCCCTTTCTTTTTGACCAATCTCCTCCTGTACTTTAAACCCGTTTCCGCGCATTATCTTTAGAGCGGATATTCTCACTTACAGTACTGAGATCTTCTAATTGTCCCTCGCATGACAAACGTTTACATCTTCTTACCAGCTCCCCCCCCCAGTACTCCATTAAATGACCTCGTCCACTTTGTGTCTCTTCTTCACCTCAATGCACCTTTACGACATCTACTGTATCCATTAGTACTATTGCATTCTGTCTTCATTCTTTACATCAATGTTGTACATATGATCATGTACACTAGCATGTTTCAGAGGATTCGTGAAAAATATCGTATTTTTATTATTATTTCGATGTTCTTCACCCATTGGGAATGCCCCCGCAACGAGTACTATTAAGTTTCACAGGGTAGAAATGTGAAGGGGAGAAAAGGCATTCAAACGACGTCCCCTACTGGTAACTATTGGCAGCATGCATGCTAGGGATATGCTCTCCATGTTTTCTATACTCCTTCTATAACAGTTGAAAGTTTTCTCTATCGAAGCGAGAGAAGAAGCGCTTGATAAAACTGGGTACCCCAAAAGCTTTCTCTCGAGCTTTCAGGTGGTGGCAAGAAAACGATAGAGAGCTAGTTAACCAGAAACCAAAGATTTTACGCTGGTTGACGGTCTGAAGTTAGGATGTGCTGCACACATCAAAGATGTGCGCGCAGCCCCTGCCAAAGGACATATTTACACATTTGACATCATTTATTAGATGGCTCCAGTCACCATGCTTTTGTGACATCCATGGCTGCCTGCACTGCTGATGTGTCGTTCCCCCTAGATTGTAATATCTTCAGTATACATGGCAAAGTAGACTGCGATTTTGTCCGGAAGGTCATTTATGTATAGGATGAAAAGGAGTGGATCTAGGACAGATCTCTGCGGAATACTTATTGTCATGGGGAGGGAGTTAGAGAAAGAGGTTCCTGCTCTAACAGGAAAGGAGCGCGAGAATAAAAAGCTGCCTAGAAGATTAAGGAGCCTACCGCTAATGTCATACATTTTCAGCTTGTACATTATTGGAGAATGCGGCAATCGATCGAAGGCTTTGGCAAAGTCTATGAAGATTGCGTGTGAGATTGTGCCATCAGCATAGGCCTGGGTTAGAAGTTCCATGACATATAGCATATTGGTGATGTATGATCCTCCCGGAACGAAGCCGTGGTGAAAAGGGGATAGAAGGTTGTTTTCCTTTAGGTGTTCAATAATATGTCTCTTAATGAGACTTTCAAAGTTTTACTGGGGATGCTTGTTAGACTTATGGGTCTTTAGCTGCTGGGTCGATGCTGAGGTTCCCTTTTGTATCTTGGTGATATTATGGCTTCTATCCAACCATCAAGGAATTCACTTATATTCAAGCAGTTTTGGAACAGCAGCTTGTAACGTGGGGCTAGTACAGCTGCTGTATACTTGAGTATTCTGGGATGCAACCCATCTGGGCACTCTACCTACGTCCCCCAATGATAACCTGCGACAGCATGCATGCTAGGGATATGCTTTTGTGTAGCGCATCAATCGTAAAAGCCGTCACTATAAGGGGCATTGCAATTACTCCGGAAAATGATGCACTGGTTAGCAGCCAACCCGTACTGTAAAGCTACGGTTTTTAAGAAAATGCTTTAGCTACTGACGCGCTGACCCGACTATCCCGAAAGTTGGTAGCTTCGTGTCTAGCAACGTAAGACTCATCGAGTCAGAAGCCTTGATGAAGTCTAAGTAATAATAATAATAATAATAATAATGTATATTTCGCGAAACCCGTGAGGCATGCACAAGG